GGTGCACACGGGTTTCTGTTGAATGTATAAATAAGTGTATGTATAATCGGTGATGATTCTACAATGTATCCAGCAGGGAGGAAAATACTTGTATACATACACTGTGAGCATTACAGCTTTATCGGTATGGATTATTGACACTGAAAGAACACGTATGAATAGGATGCATGTCTAATCTACAGTGCCCCTTAACAATGCGTGCTTTCCTAAAAAGGTTTTTTTTTTGTAAACAATTGCGGATAGCGATGAACATTCGTTTTGTGCGATTAACGACAGAAATTAACGTTTTTAGTATATTTTCAGGTCGAATGCATTGTGATGTAATACTGCGCTAGGCCACTAGATGGAGCTGAGAAACATAGGAAAGAAGTATTCCGCTCCTCGGCTCCACCTGGTGGCCATAATTCAGTATTACATCACAATACATTTGACCTGAAATAAAGATACATTGAGAACGTTAGTTTTTGCCATTTTCACACATAATGGACATTGACAGATATTTCGGAGGGTGAATTGTTTATTGAGAAACCCGTTAGTGGTTTCTTAGTAGCTCTGCCCCTTCCTGAGAGCTGCGAAACAGTAACTGTGCGTTAGCCGCAGTTGAGCATTATGCTGCAGGGTATGATCAGGTCCTGAGCTAATCCTTCTTGTAGTCTGAAAATCATTTGGTTGGTCAAGTCACATCTTAAAGTGAACCTGTCATCTCATCCTATGTTCCAAAGTATCTCCAGGAATGAAGTGTAGGCAGCCTGAGGGGCTCGCACCTACCTTCAACTATCTTTAGCAGAGGTAGCCAAACTCCGGCCCTCCAGCTGTGGTCAAACTACAAATCCCATGATGCATCTCTCTGCGGGAGTCATGTCTGAGAATCTTGCAATGCCTCATGGGATTTGTAGTTCCACCACAGCTGGAGGGCCGATGTTTGGCTACCCCTGATCTTTAGGAACGACTCAGGAGTCCAAAACCATGTTCCCTTTTTGCATATTCTCATAAGAACCGGCTGGCTGCACCTCCCCATTGGCCAGTTACTGTAATGGAAGGCCTTAATGGCCGATTAGTGAGGTGGAAGGGGCGGAGTCAGCTCTTGACTTTAGCTGCAGAAGTCGGAAGACGGGCCCTGAACTTGCATTCTCAAAAGCGAGTCATCAGCAGCAACTCCTTTTCTGGACCCATTCCTTTTTAATAGTGATGCACGGATACTAGTATCGGTATTGGTGCCGATACTGAGTATTTGGGCGAGTACTTGCCCCCGACACCGAAACTTCGGCAAGTGCCGTAGGGGAACACGGAACCGGCTTCTTTGGCAATCGGGCAGCAAGTAATGACCCTCCTCCTGGCTTGCTGATTGGCTGGGAAGCCGGCTCCATGTTGATTGGCAGTGAGGAAGCCGGGCGGCGAGTAATGACCTGCCTCCCCGATTGGCCGGGAGCCGGCTACATGCTGATTGGGAAGCCAGCTTTCCAGCCAATCGGCATCAACTCGGCTGTTCATACTGAGGTAAACTTTTTCAGTATGTGTTCCCCCTCCACATAGAATATAACGGGAAGATTGTCCACAACGGCTTCCCGGCTCACCGAGATCCCTGAATGCAGCAAGGATGTGTTTGATCGAGGGCCCGATCACACCTCATCCAGTGAGTTCAGGTACGGCTCCATCCCCTGAACGCACTGGATCGCATAAACATAACCTCCCGCGTTCTGAGGGGGGGGGGGGGGGGGGGCGTGGTGGTGCCATTAACGTAATTTGGGCATTAGAGTGGAATAGAAACTGCAGAATAAAGGATGCTGAAGAATGCCTGGTACAGCAATGCCCTGCGTTCCGATGCGTTCGCAGTGCATGCAGTGTCCAGTCCTGTCAGAATTCGTCCATCCTTTCACAGCTTTGTTTTATTCATTTTTTTTGTCCTCCCTGTTTTGTTTTCTTTGCTTTCTCTATTATTTTTTAATTATTATTTTTAAGTATTTACAAACACAAGGAGTAGAGTGTGAAAGGGAATGCAAATAGCACAAAACAAATTTCCCATTTTAAAAGAGAACTACGGGGTCAGTGTTTTTCCCCATAGTTCTCCTAAGGGTCACAGGAGGACATGTACTAACCTCCTCCCGTGACCCAAAGCTCAGTATATAGCGAGCTATTGCCCACAATATACTGAGAGCACCGCAGCCGGGGCGATTCCCGACATTACTGTTGTGATCCACCCAGCTGCGTGAGTGACAGCGGGCTCTGCCTATCTAGAGGTAGAGCCAGCTGTACCCGCCCCTTCTCCCGCCCATTCCTCCAGTAAGCGCTGGAGGATCGGAGAGGGGAGGGGGGGAATCCCTGCAGGGAGCGGTGACTGATAGTCACCGCTCTCTGCAGGGAGAGGATCGGGAAGTGAGCGGATCGCCGGCATCTTTCTGCTCACTTCCCGATCGATAGAGCCGACCTGTGACAACTTCTTTGTCACAGGTCGTCTCTAGCTATGAGTGGAAATCACTCACCTCATAGATCTTTTAAAGGAGAACTATGAGGGGCGTGCGTTTCACTCACCTCATAGTTCTAGCCGACCTGTGACAATGAGACTGTCACAGGTCGGCTCAGTAGATCGGGAGGTGAGCGAACACATACCGGCGTTCGCTCACCTCTCGATCCTGTCACGGCTCTCTGCC